AGCCTCAGTTAATGGTAGAAATATACCAGTTCTGTGTTAAATGTGTTCATTGAGTTCTTTTAGGGGAAATAAACATAATAAGGAAAATCTTTATGATTAAAGAGAAAAACTTGAGTGAAATTTGAGATAGATTCTCTGTGTAGTTCCTTGACAATGAAAATTGTATAGAAATTTTAGCTTTAAGATCTTGTGAGAAAGAGGGCCTGCTAAGCTATACATTATAGTGTTGTATGGAACTCCATGTCATAGGACCTGACCTCAGATTCTCTCTTCCTGAAAGATTAGCAGGGACGCCACACGGCTTAGCCAGCCATTTTATTAAACACAGTATTGTCCCAAGCGCTTTGCACAGTGTAATGTGTCAGGCACATGTTGCTTAGGATTTGTTTTTAGTGAGTAGGCGGAGTAAGTAAGTAAGTGATCTTACCCTTACTTTTAATGTCTGTACCTAGTGTCCCATTGTAATTTTTTTTTTCTTCTAATTTTGGAGTTTAAAAAAAATACTTCTCAAACATAATTTTCTTTCTGCACTATCTCACAACTGTTCTATTTCTTTATCAGAAGAAACTTGTGTATAGTACTCTTATTAGTTTATTCTGGCACACAATACAGTTTATTTAAATTAGTTGTGTTTGTTCAGATCAGACATTCTTCTGCACGTGAGTTTAAGAGTAGAGTTTTTAGTTACTTTATTTAGCTTTGAGGAAAATAATTTGCAGGTATGGTGCTCCAGAAGCAGGAGGCTCCACAGTGCATTCATGACTTTGGAGGTCTTGAGTGTGTGTTCATAATTCCTTATATTCCATCACATATCTTTACACATCTTTAGCTTGAGCTCTTGCTAGTTTTTAAGTGAATCTTATCTAGAATGGATTGTCTCTTCTTTCTGTGTTCTTTTCTTAGGCTTTCTTTAAGAGTTTTTTCCTTAGCATTTAATACCAGCTGATGCACTAAGCATGTTAGTTCTCTAACTATTTATTGTCTGGCTCCCCTAAAGGGCAGCTCGAAGGAAGACTTTGACATCCTGACACTGAAGCCTATGCATAGTTTTCTCATGGAAAAATCAAGTAGAGTCTCACTCAGAATCTATTTTCTTGAAATTTACACATGGTCTGCAAATGCTGATTTATCTACTTTCTGGTATGTTAGAAGCAGCGAATTAAGTAGAAGTGGGTGAAACAGACTGTAACAGACAGATGTGCTTATAACAGTGAGAAATAACTAACCATAAAGAAGGTGTCATAAAAAACTTCGAAAAACACTATCATTACTCTAAAAAGTGAATGTGTAGTTAAATGGCTTACAGTAATGTCTCCTGGGAATAGTAGAAGGGGTAGTAGGGCAGGTATTCACCATATTTTGGATACTTCTTTATATTCTATTCCATAAACAAAAAAATACATTATGAGAAGAATATAATCCATTTTAGTTTGTATGTGTCTGGAATTTTCTTCTGTCCACTGAGTCTGGCTGTTAAAAACTAAATAATGCAACTTAAGATATATGTAAGCCCCTTTTACCCTTTGGGCTTTACAGCTTTGCTTTGTGGGTTAAGATGCACTTGAAATTTCAGCTCTAGTTTTAATGTTAGAAATATATTTTTATACTTTGTGATTTTAAAATACAAAGAGCATAATTAAAATTGCTTTTTCTCTTAATTTTGGTGAAATCTTAATTTCTTAAAATGTATCTTAATTTAAATATCTTCTTTAAAAAAACAAATTTCTCTCTCTTTCTGTCTCCATTTCCATCTTCCCCCCAACCTTCTCTTCATCCCTTCCTTTCCCTCTCCCCCCTCCTTCCCTTACAGGTTCGAATGGCTCTAAAAAAGGCTGAAAAAGAATTTGAACTCCGAAGCAGCTGGTCTGTTCCAGATGCACTTCAAAAATGGCTTCAGTTAACACATGAAGTAGAAGTACAGTACTACAATATTAAAAGACAAAATGCTGAAATGCAATTAGCTATTGCTAAGGATGAGGTACTCTATTATATTTCAAAACCTAATAAATTTCTAAAGAGATTAACCAATTGAGATACAAAGGTCTGAATAAAAATTGTATTATTGTAGCTTCTTTTTGTGAATTGGAACTTACTGCATAAATTGACTCTCGTAGTCATAGGTTGTAGAGTAAAATTACCTTATTTAGAGAAGTGTATACCTTTCAGAATGACCTTAGTGTCATTTAAAAATCATCCCTATTATCATTGTCATAAATGTTTTATACAGAGCTTTTCTCCTCTAGGTTGCTGCTTCATATCTGATTCAGGTTAGTAGTTACTAGAAATTAATGTCTGACTCTTATTAAATTGTGTGAAATGAGATTAAGTTTTAATCTGATTTCTAGCAAAAAAAAAAAAAGCTCAGTTCACTCACTAACACCTCACTGCAGTAGCATACGAGCAATGTTATTTTGTTAGTTTTAATAGAAGATTAGGTCTTTCTGAACCATCAAAATAAGAGAAAAATTCTCCAGAACAAAGTTTTGAATTGTATTGATTGGCTTAGGAAAGCATGCTTTCACCCTTATCTGTTTTCTTTTTTGGAAATTAGGGCTTTATTTTGGCTAATATAATTTTCCACTGATTTTATGATTATTAATATATTCAAAACAAACTTCATTAGTATATGTGTGTTTTTTTCCAAACCTACCCTTATTTTCTCTCTCCTTGGGTTTCTAGGCAGAGAAAATTAAAAAGAAAAGAAGCACGGTGTTTGGGACTCTGCATGTTGCGCATAGCTCCTCCCTAGATGAGGTAGATCACAAAATTCTGGAAGCAAAGTAAGAATGTTATTTTAGCTATCAGTTTATCTGTATTATGTTGAAATGTGTAATTTATAAGCAGTTTATATCTTAATTTGTCAATTTAAGCATGTGTAATTACATAGCCTATACTAATTTTAAGAATGGGTAATTGCCATGGTCTGTTCATGTAGCTGCCCTGCTTTTTAGTGCCATAATAAAGATTCTTTGATGCAACAAGTAATTCCTACATTGGCTTTTCCAGGAAAGCGCTCTCTGAGTTGACAACTTGTTTACGAGAACGACTTTTTCGCTGGCAACAGATTGAGAAGATCTGTGGCTTTCAGATAGCCCATAACTCGGGACTCCCCAGCCTGACCTCTTCCCTGTATTCTGATCACAGCTGGGTGGTGATGCCCAGAGTCTCCATTCCCCCCTATCCAATTGCTGGAGGAGTTGATGATTTAGATGAAGACACACCCCCAATAGTGTCACAGTTTCCTGGTAAGTGGTGAGTTCAAAAAAGAGAGTTGGTACAGTTTTTAAAGGAACTTTCTACATGCCTTTTATGAATCATTGACTTTGAAACCTATGATGAAAACTTTGTTCATTCGTTATATTCTCTTTTTTCCTTTTGTGGTTAATAATTTATCTTTACTATGTGAGGAGAATATATCAGGTGTGTGTCTGTATACATACACATATAGTAACGCATTATACATGCTAGATATTGTATGAACGAAGTGCCGAGCTTTGAGGGTTAATATCCTTTCAAATGGCAGCTTAATCTATAGTAGAAAGTAAAAATTAGGGGAAGATCTTGGTGCCACTGACTAACCAACTGTGTGACTTTGAGCCAGTCTGTGATTTATTTGAAGTTCAGTTACCATTCTCAATGGGCATGGGGTTTTTGTTTTGCTTTTCCAATTCTCTATCCTTAGAGTTTATCCTGCTGTGTTGTAACTCATGAAGCACTGGCTCAGTTTACTTTTAAACAGAATTAAACTGTGCTTATGTTTAGAAAAACCTTCTGTTGTTGTTGCTAGAAAGTAGAGCTCCTCCCAAAGGTGGTTTTAAAATGTACAGTTTTCTTATGTTGCCTTGTTTATGCTATAAACATAAAACATAAAATAAGCATACATGTAAAATATGTAAAAACAATATGTAAAAATTAAACATAAAAATCCCTTGAAGTCTTACATTGTAAGGAATATGTTTTAGTAGGAAGGTAAAATTTAAATATTTTGGATTTTGTTAACTGTTTTTAGAATTTATTAATAAGTATGTGGACTTTTTGCAGAGTTAGAAATCATTTGAAAAACTTTTTCACCCTTGTTATTGCCTGGCTGATTCGCTTTCCCAATCTTTGGGACCTTTTTGAAACTGTAGATAGAACAAGATTCCAAAGAATGGAAAGCAGAATTTAATAACTGATTGGTTGAAAACTTGGATAGAAGTTTTAGTTTTAAGACAAATCAGTCATGATATATAAACATTTTCCAGTTTGAATTTTTTTATCCAATTACATTTTTCCTGATGTTATGATTTACAAAGGGTTCTAATATTTATTTTTTATTTTTATTTTTTTTAAAGATTTTATTTATTTGAGAGAGAGAGAGAATGAGAGATAGCACGAGAGGGAAGAGGGTCAGAGGGAGAAGCAGACTCCTTGCCGAGCAGGGAGCCCAATGCGGGACGCGATCCCGGGACTCCAGGATCATGACCTGAGCCGAAGGCAGTCGCTTAACCAACTGAGCCACCCAGGCGCCCAGGGGTTCTAATTTTTAGAACAGTTTTATGAAATAAAGCCCTAAATTTGCAAATAAATAGTGAATGACTACGCGTTTGTGTTTATTTCTGTGGCTGTAACTCTCTGGTTTAATGGCAGAGAGATGAGGCAAGTCAGTTGGGGAGGCACTAAACTCTTAACACAGTAGAGAAGACAGGACAGATAATAAATGCATTGAATCCTGAAATGTGTGACCTCGCTCATCTCACTTGTCCTATGCTGCAAGGTAGTTATGGTGCAAAGTTATACCTAGATCTAGGCCAGCTCTGCTCTTTGAATATTGTCAGCTTCTGTTTATTTGAATTGTATGCCCTTAAGCTTGCCAAATGCAACACTGATTCATAAATATATGATTTTGTTTGAAAACTATAGCTTTTTAAAGTCATAGTTCCTCCTGAGAATCCATAATTTTTCAGTGTCCATATGCATGAAGATGTATTCCCTAAGTTAACTAGTTCTTTTTCTTTTCCTTTTTTTAAAGTTCTTTTTGATGGGACAAAATATATGTGAATAATTATCTTAAGTTTTCAGTGATTGTGATATACAGAGAAATTTGAAATATGAAAAAAGTGAGTTGATTTTAATTTAGTATGATGATTTAGAAGTTCTGTGACCAAATTTATTATCTTTGGAAAAAAACTCTTGCCAAAGATTACACTTTGAGAGCTCCACCTCCACCCAGTGGCACAGCCGTGATACTCCACTCTGCTTTGCTGCGAAAGCATAATTTCTAGAGCTGATAAATGAGGAACTTCTGACAGCCAGACTAAAGTCTAGAGTAGGATGAAGCCCTCTTTATTATGTACCCTCTGAGAAGTTTTAAATTTGTACCGTGCGTATGTGTAAATTCTGTAAGTGTGAAATAGTGGCAGGGAAACATGCCTGTGGTATGTTAAGAGCCAAGTAAAAGATTGTAAAACTATATACAGAATAATATTATCTGTGTTTAATTATGTGTGAAGAAAAATATAGGGAAAATATTATCAAAGTTTAGCTCATTGTGGGTAGGAGAAGAGATGATAGTTTTTTCCTGTTACTTTTATAGTATCTGCTAAATATTCATAGTGGGAATGTGGTAGCAGTTTATTTTAAAATTTCTTATTATAAAGTCCTCAGATGTACTTAAAAGTACTGAAAATTAAATGCTCACCTACTACAAAGATAAACAAATTTTAACATTTTGCTCTATTCATCCCTTTTTCTGAAATAAATTATTATACATACAGCTAAACTACATGGCCTCCCCTTCCTACTCTTCTGAAGTTGTGTATTGTTCTAAAGCCTGTTGTACTTTTACTACTTGCAGATATATCTATAAACAATAGATATAATCGTTATTTAAAAATTTACATAAATGCTATCAAACTCTAGGTAATGTTTTGCAACTCTTTTTGCTCACTATGTTATAGAAATTTTCCATGTTCATATACAGCTTCATTAAATTTACTGTAACTTTAATATGAGTTAACCACAGTGTATCTATTTATTCATTATAATCATAAACCACAGTTTATTAATCCATTTTTCTACTGAGATAGGTTCTTTGTACTTTCTTGCCTTTACAGACAATACTGCAGTGAGCATCCTTACCTTACCTTTATCTCTTTGTGCATAACTTTGAGTGTTTCTCTGAGTAAACACCTAGAAAATGGATCACTTTTAGTCCTTGGGAGGGCTGTTGCTAGTCATTGCCGGGTTGCTCTCAAAATGATTGTTCATTTATTTATACACCCACTGTTTGTAAGAGTGCTTGTCTGCCCGTATCCTCACCAATACTTGGAATGATCTGATTTATTTGTTGTGTAACTTGAATGGGTGTGATATGATACCATAGGGTGATTAAAATTTTTATTTCCTCGATGACTACTGAGATGTTCCAGTTCATTTATTGGTGTTTGTCATTCAGATTTCTTCCTCTCTGAGTTGCTCGTTTCGTACTATGGAATCTCTCCCAAGATTCCTTACTGATCTGGGAGAGTTGGTTTTAATATTTTCTGGTTATTTGATGCAGATAGCTTTCAGGCCTTGGCTTTTCTTTTTTACTCGACTGTGTTATTTTCTTCTTTAATCATCCAGGTTTTTAAAAAAATGTTTCTAATGACAAATTTATGAAACTGATTTGTGCTTTTTATGTCTTTTTCAGAAGATGATAGATTGTTGTTTGCTCTACTAAAAGTGTTTTAGATTTGCTTTAATCCCTTAGTCTTTTAATCTACCTGGAAGTTATTTTTGTTTGTACTGTGAGATAGGAATCTAAATATATCTCCTGATGTATGGACAAACAGTTGCCCATTCTCACTCCTGCTCTGTCCCTGCCGGTTTGTAACCCCACATCTCTCCATTGGTGCACATGTGTGCCCAGGCTCTCTGTTCTGTTCCATTGGTTCCATTCTGCTTTAGTTGCTGTTTATAGTTTTATAATAAGTGTTGAGGTTTGATAGGTCTAAACCTTCCCTTATTACTCAAATTCAGAATTGCTGTTCTTGGCCAATATGAATTTTGGGATTAGCTTATGAAATTCCATGAGACGTTCCATTGAACTTTTATTGGAATTTCTTCGAATGTATTGATATATTTGGGAAAAGTTGTTATTCATAAGTTTCATTTATTAGGATCTGCTTTTATGTCTTTAAAATTTTAAATTTTTTCTGTACTGTTCTTGCGCATCTTTTTAAAAAGATTAATTTCTGGATACCCCATAGGTTTTTGTTCTTTTTTTTTTTTTTTGTAGTTACACATTACCTCTCTTAAAAAAATTATACTTCAAATTGCTTGTTGCCGATGTGAAGGGAACTGCTGTTGACTTTGCTAAACTGATCTCACATACAGAAATACTGAATTCTCTCAGGAGTCTTTTGGATTTTTTTGTGTGTGCAATAATAATAAGTTGTTTTTTCCTTGTCAGTCCTAATGCCTTCTTCCCTTTTTTTTTTCCAGTCTAAGACCTTCAGTAAAATGTTGAGTAAAAATGGTGATTGTAGGCAATAAAGGCATTTCTGACTTTAAAGAGAAATCTCCCAATATTTCATCGTGAAATGTGATTTTTATTTATTTTTTGCTCTGTGTTTTGGTAGATTGCTTTTAAGTTAAGGAAATTAATTTTATTCCTATTTTGCTAAGAATGATTTTTCTTTTAAATCAGTGGCTGTTAAATTTTACCAAATCTTTCCTGCCTAGTTTGAGGAGATCACTTATATTATTTTTCTTTATTCTGTTGTATAAAAGCACAGTGTGTGAATGTGCTTAGAGAAGTCAAGGGAAGGACAAAGTAATAATCAATGACAGGTGCTGGCCAAAGTCAGGGAAGGATTGAGCTATCTGTTGAATTTAGCAACAAGGAAGTACATTGTGACTTTGTGGAGAACAGTTGCAGCGAAATTGTATGTGAGCACTTTACACTTTCTTTGATGAATGAGTTAAGGTGAAGTAGTGGAGAAAGTAACAAAATTCTTCATAAAAGGGTAGAGAGGTTATATCAGTTGAAAAACAATCTGAAGACAGAGGAGGGTTTTTTGTTGCTGCTGTTGTTTATCGGTTTGTTTTTTAGGTTTATTGTTGCAGCATTGATTTTTAAATGCTGTTGGGAAGTAGAAAGTAGAAAGAAGTTGAATATAAAGGCAACAGAAGGGCTAATCAGTAGAGTTAGGTACTTGAACTTGGGTAGAGAATAGGACAGACAAGTGGAAGGAGCAGAATGTGTGAACTAGAAAGGTAGAAATGTGGTCAGAATCTCAGTTGTCTGTCTTGATTTGTAATATCAAAAATGGAGCAATGCTGAATGACAGCAAGACAAAGTTGGAGAGTGAGTGGTGGCATAGATGTCTTGAGATGAGGGGAAACCGTGATTGGTTAAGGTGTTGGAAGGTCTTATTTATAAATGAGATTGCCCAAGTTTGATGATAGGTTGGGTCAACTGGTAAGAGAATGACTGGGAAGTGATTAGTGGAGGAGAGATGGTAGACCCACATGGCTTAATGGTGTGAGCTTCAGAAGGAACACATTTGTATAGAAGGGTGTAGGAATGAGGGTTTACAGAGTGTTGGGGTGTGAGAAGGCCACCAGCGTGATGTTCTGGTGTGGCAGCCGAAGTTTTCTACCAGCATGGGTCTAGACTAAGACTGGTAGCAGAAACAAGAAGATCTAAGACTTCTGATTAGTTCCATAGTAATCAGTGTTCAGGAAACAAGTTTTGGTATGATCATTGCCTAACTGGCTGGGAGACAATATTTCAATGACTTGATTTAAAATTTCTTAGAGGCAGGCAAACGAGAAGAGACCCTTAATGATAGAGAACAAACCGAGGGCTGATGGAGGGAGGTGGGGCGGGGGGGTTAGATGGGTGATGGGTATTAAGGAGCGCACTTGTGATGAGCACTGGGTGTTGTATGTAAGTGATGAATCACTAAATTTCTCCTGAAACCAATATTACACTATATGTTAATTAACTAGAATTTACATTGAAACTTGAAACATGGCAAAAAAATAAAACTTCAGGTTCAGGTAAGTCACACTGTCTTAAGAGATACCTGTTGAAAAATTCAGCTTATTTTTTTTTTTTTAGTGATAGTTTTCTTCTTTTAATGGTAAAGTTCACAAAAAGTTTTGCTACAAAGTACAGATTCCGTAAAACTATGCTATATTGGTTTTTAAACGTAAGGATTTATCATCTTAGGCAAATTTTCAAGCCTTATGGTTAGTAATGTCAAATGTGGTGTTAGAGCCTCATGAGTTTATGTTCTCTTCTGTTTATTTTCTAGACCTGTTTTCATTTTTATTCCTTTTTAATTCTGTATTTCTTCACTTTTCTGGGAAGCAGTCCAGGGGATGGAGGACGGTGACGATAGTGCAGGCCTGTTCTGCGGTGGCGTGTTCGTAGCGGCAGGTCCCTGATGTGGGTCCCTGCGCTGTGCCTAGAAGCGGCACTGGCCTCACGAGCATGTGTGTGTTTTTCTGCTTGGTTCCAGGGACCGTGGCCAAGCCCGCGGGGCCGCTCGCCCGAAGCAGCAGCCTGTGCCGCTCCCGTCGAAGCATCGTGCCGGCCTCGCCGCAGTGTCCGCGCGCCCCGCTCCCTCCTCACACGCCGCACCAGGCCCACGCCCGGCACCCCCAGCACCCGCAGCACCCGCAGCACTCCTTGCCTTCCCCTGACCCTGATATCCTCTCCGTGTCAAGTTGTCCTGTGCTTTATCGAAACGAGGAGGAGGAAGAGGCCATTTACTTCTCTGCTGAAAAGCAATGGTATTGGCAGCGAACCAACTGCAATATATGCTGGGCTGGCTGGGTGGGAGGTGGGCGTGGGTGGGGAGGAGCGACCCGCTGGATTCGGTTTCTCTTGCTGCATAATGAGTTACCACAAACTGCGTGGTTTTAAGCAACATGCCTTCATTAGCTCTCAGTTCTGGATGCCAAAGTCCAGGCGTGGCTTGGCCAGGTTTTCTGCACAGGGTCTCACAAGGCTAACATCGAGGTGTTTGCCAGGCTTTGTTCTTCTCTGGAGCTTGAGGGCCACTGCAAGGCTCGTTTGGTTGTGAGAGAATTCAGTTCCTGTGGTTATAGCACTGAGGTCACGGTTTCCACACTGGCTGTTAGCCGGGGGCCCCTCCCAGTTCTAGTGGCTGCACAATATTCCTTGCTGTACGGGCCTCCATCTTCAAAGCCCACACTAAAAACTGTCCCTTCTGTCAAGTCCCTTCTTTGCTTGGAATCTCTGACTTGCCCCGTCTCTAATCTCTGGACCCAACTTAAAAGGCTCACTTGGATGGTAATCTCTGTATATTAAGATAGATTGGTTTGGGGCCCTAATTACATCTGCAGACGGCCTTCATAGCAGCATCTCTATCAGTGTTTGATGGAATAACTAGGAGAATATATGTGTGTACACCAAGGCTAGAAATTTAGGGACCATCTTAGAATTCTGCCCACCACAGTGCAGATATTTTGACATGTAACTGTTTAGAGACCACTGCACACAACTGACTCAAGTCTCAGGACAGAAATTTGTCTTATGAATAGTTTTATATGTAAAATACAAAAGCATGAACTTAAATATACACAAAGAAACATTAAATATGACCGAGTTTTTACAATATTTCTTGCCACTTAATGATTTTTTTTCTGTTTTGTGCTAGTACTCACTAGCAAACAGGAAATATCAAATGCCAAAGATGTAAGAAAATGTAGGAATTTGTATAAAATGGGTATAGCAGCAGCGTGTTCTAGTCCAGCTTGAGGACCACCATGCTCCATAAGACCCGTTGCAACTAAGGATCTCCTTCCAAACCACATTCCTCTTTAGGAGCAGTGGGGTTTCAAGTGACAGAAAAACCAGCGCCGGTTTCTGACTTTGCTCACACATCATAGCCATGCAGCCTTGAAGTCTTCCTGTCCTCACGTGAGAAACAAAACCAAAGGGAGGGGGCTCGATGCTCTCAGTGACCTTTTGTGGCTCTTCTCTATCGTGTGATTCTTTAGTTGGCATCATCATCAAATAATAATTTTCATACATAATTGTTTTATCTCCTAGTGAAAGTAGATTTTACAAATAGCCAAAATCATTAGAGCATATTCCTGAGGAGATAGTCCAGGGTTTGTGTCCTTGTTAGAGTTGGAGAATTTGATGCAGCTTTGCTTGGGCAGCACTTTCTGATTAGCTTTTTTGTATAACCTCTGCAATATAACTATAGTCGCCTATAAGACGGCTTTAGTGACAGAACTAATTTTGTGTGGCTTATGGAAGTTAATAGGAAAACTCTAGAGTTCCGCTGTCCAATAGAATTTTTGCATTTGTGGAAATGTTTAGTCTTCATTTCAAATAATAGTGTCAGAAATTCACAGCTAGCTCATAAATATGAGAATTTAGATTCAGAAAACTTTTCCTCCTCTTTAGTCTCTTACATGATGAACCACTAGAATCCTTACAAAATAGCAATAGTAATAATATTTACTATTTACTGATCTTTTATGTTCTATGCATTATGTACATTATACACTCACTTAAATCTTACCTTGAGTTGTCTTGTTACATAGGCATTAAACTGACATGAATACACCTGTACCTCACTGTGAGAAAAAAAGAAATATAACATAAATAGTACACATAATTAACTTTAACATTCCAAAGAATATATGTTCTAGAAAAAAATGGGACATTTTAAGAGTCAGACATTATACTATACCTACACTCCAATCTGACTAGTTCTGTGGAAGAAGCAACACTTCAGATTATTACTTGTTTTGGAATTAGGATGTTAGAAGGAGGAGTAATTTCAGAGATTAATCAAATTCTCTTACTTTGACAAGGAAATTGAGACCTGGTTAATTTAAGTGATTTGCCCAAGGTTGTGCGGCTGATTAATGGCAGGACCAGGACAGGAAGGTCTAGTTCTCCTAACTTAGATCAGTATTCTTTTCACATATTATTTAGATTTTAGAGACCGGTTTTTGAAATATTTTTAACCTAGCTTAGAATTTCACACACCGAGCAGCCAAACCACATAGCAGAGTAGAAAGTAGATTTATAAAATTGTAACTAAATCAGCTTCTGGCGCTGGAAGCTGAACAGCTTCAGGGAACAGTGATATATGCCCTATAATTAATGGATATCCACTCCAAAAAGAAGCTAACAGAAAAGCCCCTACCAGTAACTGATTTCTGAGTCATTTCTTCTTGTCTGAGCTTCCTCTTGTCCTCTGTTAGCACTCCCCGTTGTCATATTGTAAAAGCACTTAGAAATGATGCAGCACATGGAACTGTATCGTATGAAATCATCATTTAAGTCTTTATTTGCCCAGGGGATTTTGTAGCTTCTGAGAGCTTGTAGTGTAATAGAAACAATCTGCACAGACATGTGTGAGTGAAGTACATAGGAATGATGAAACACGTTGAGTAAGATATAGATCTAAAATGAGGTATTAACATGAAAAACATATCAGAAGTAATATCACTACGTGAATAATGATAGTAACCACAGGTCATCCAAGGGGAGAGATCATTCAGTTCGTTTATTCTATAAATATGAACGTAGTTCCTCGCTGTATTCTGTGTCCTTACTAATAACTTGAGCTGCCAGGACAAGTGAGGCAGGGAAGGCTCTGGCCTCGTGCTAGCTGGTGCGTTATGGTTATATGGGCCCTTGCCTTTCTCTTCTGTCTTCAGCTCTCGTCCTTCTCTTCTTCTGCCAGTTACTTTTTATCTTGACTCTACTTTTTATTTCTTAATCATTTCTTTCGTAGAGGGAACAATGTTTGTATCCCGTGTGGTACATACAAAAATAAGTGAGTCATTATCCAAGATCTTTTCTCTTTTTCTTTTCTTTCGTCTGTTTCCCGTTCATTCACTCATTCATTCATCCATCACATATTTATTAAATACCCACCGTGAACTTACCACTCCCTCTTCCAGTGCAGAGAATGCAGAAGGTAGGAAGACTCCCTGTCCTCATTAAGTTTTCTTTCTTCTGGAGAAACTGACTATAAGAAGTTAATATAAAATACCGTTTTAGGTAGTGGGATGTTCTGGGATGCTAACTAAAGTCAGGTAAAAAGAAAGAGAATACTATTGTGGACAGAGTGCCAAGGGAAGCGTCTCTGGAGAGAGAGCAGTTGAGCAGTGATCTGAGTGACCTGGAGCAGTAAGCCCTGTAGCGATGGAGGGAAGGACAATAGGAGCCAGAGGGAAGAGTAAGTGCACAGCCCTGAGGGAGTCACAGGGTTGGCCTGGGGGTGGGGGGCATAGGGGGGGCTGTAGTGTAATGACCCGGAAAGTGGTGGGGCCTGCGGGCTGGAGCCACAGCCGTGGCCCTGATCTGACTGGGCTCTGTGGACTCGGCAAGGTCTTTGGATTTCAGCCTGATGAGGAGAAGGAAGGATTGGAAAGTTTTGAGCAGGGAAATGATGTGCTCCAAGTTTTTAAAAACCCTTTTGCATCTGTGTAGAGAAGTAGCTCGGAGGGAGGAACAAAAAGGGAAGCAGGGAGATCAGTTAGGATTCCCTTGCAATCACTGAGGTGACTTCGCGGTACTTCAGCAAAAAGGGACGGTAGCAGTGTGGGAGTGACGAGGGTTGGATTTGAGGGATAGTTTGCAGGAATGGCTGATAGCATCTCCTGTTCATGGGCCTTGAGGTTGTGAGCTTTATTTTTCTTATCCTTATCTCTTCTCTCTTGTGAAGAGGGGAAATCACCAAGGAATAAACCTGTGAGAATTTACTTGACTGTCTGCTTCTTAAAAAAATAGGGTGACATAACTGATTTTTGCCTCTCCCCCTCCCCCCCCCCACACCCAATTGTATTTCAGCTTCCTTCTCCTGTTTCTGAACTTGGGAGAACTTCCATTTGAGCTTAATATATTCCTTTCTTCCTTCCTGAGGAAGCTAAATTTCATCAATTTAATAACTAAAAAATAAAGGGAGAGACAGTGATTAAAGCTCATCTTTTAGAATATATAATGTCAACTCTGTGATTTAGAAAGAAAACCACTCAGTATTGAAACAAAACACCAAAGTAGCTGAGATGAAAAAAAATCTGTAAACTTTATAAACATTTTCATTTCTCTGACAATTGAAGAAAGATGTAACATGAGTTATGTTTCTTAGGTTGGAAGATTTCATTATTAATAATGTATGTTAAATATTAAACATTGAGTTTTGATAAGTTATATTATTTAAAATAGTAATCTAATTTTATCAGAATGTGTGTAGAATTTTAGTATTTCTCCCTTTTACATTTTGATAGATTAAAAAAATAGAAGTTGTTTTAGTTAGAATTAGTGAGCATGTCTGCTGGTAGTGTTAGAAAATATTGATTTAAAATTTTACCTTTGTCTCTGTCTCATCCAGGGAAGTGCCAGACACGGCCTCCGAATGTGACTCCTTAAATTCTTCCATTGGAAGGAAACAGTCTCCTCCTTCAAGCCTTGAGATATACCAAACATTGTCTCCTCGAAAGATATCAAGAGATGAGCTCTCTCTAGAGGATTCATCCCGAGGAGATTCACCCATAACTGCAGATATCTCTCGGGGTTCTCCTGATTGTGTAGGTCTGACAGAAACGAAGAGCATGATCTTCAGTCCTGCCAGCAAAGTGTACAATGGCATCTTGGAGAAATCCTGTAGCATGAACCAGCTTTCTAGTGGCATCCCGGTGCCTAAACCTCGCCACACGTCCTGTTCCTCCACCAGCAACGACAGTAAACCCGTTCAGGAAGCCCCACCTGTTGCCAGGATAAGCAGCATCCCGCACGATCTTTGTCATAATGGAGAGAAAAGCAAAAAGCCATCAAAAATTAAAAGCCTTTTTAAGAAGAAATCTAAGTGAACTGGCTGACTTGATGGAATTTATTCAAGTGGCATCTTTGAACTTTTATCTCCCATCCTCCACTCCCCCTTTTTTGTTTTAATTTTAGGGCTGTAATTCCAGTGGGGCTTTCCAGACTGGGCGCCGTAGTGGAATGTCCCAAGGGAACTGTCTACTGTCTGCTTATTTAAATGACTAATCAATTTGTCAAGCCAGTTATTACTGAAAAATCATTAAGAGATGAGACAGTTTACAGTCATTTCTGCCTATTTATTTCTGCTTTGTTATTAGTGATGTATATACAACATTTTGTTGAAAGCCACTATGGACTTACAAGCTTTAATGGACTAGTAAGCCAGCATGGGCTTGCAAAAATTTCTTGTTTACCACACCATCTTCTTATCTTTCCACAGAGCTATTTACATCCTGGACTAAATGACTTAAACAAAGTAAAACTAATTGCACTACCGTTTTCCAGACTGGAAAAAAAAAAAAAATCTCTGCAAGTGAAACTGTATAGAGTTTATAAAATGACTGGATAGGGGACTGTTTTCACTTTTAGATCAAAAAGGGTTTTTAAGTAGAACCTAGGGTTTCTAATTGACTTGATTTCTGGAAATGAAAACCCACGCTTTTATTATGGGAAGCTTCTTTAAATGCATTTAATATTATAAAGTTTCAAGTCCTGCTGTAAAGATCATGTTTTGTTTTTCCCAGGGCTTTCACTGTGATTTACTGCATTGCAGGCTGTATGATAAAATATAAATAATTTAAGGAGAGAAGGCTCTTGATTCCTTACACACGTGGAAGAGTTGAAACTTGATTGAAGGACTTACATTCACAAGCTTAAACTGAGGTCGGGGACGTGGGGATTCAGGCCCTTGTTTACAGACTTTGAATAACAGCAAAGAAGTTATGGTTTGTGAAGAATTTGTACTGTGGAAAAGATAATAAATTGGAGACATTATTGTGTGGGACTGTGTTGATTTTTGTTGATAACACTCCACTAAAAACACTATACATTTTCTGGAGAGCTAAATGAGCTGTTTTGTTGCTTAATTGCACTATAAGAAATAGTGATGTTTTGGAAGTTGTCAACAAATTTCTTTCCATTTTATATTGTTTGTCATATTTTTATGTAGTTTGAAATGTTTAAATGTTCTAATATCAAGATTAACAAATATAAATTTATGGTGCATTTAGATTGTGTTGTATTAATTTGTAAAGCTCGGGGTTCGTTAAACCACTAGGTTATTTAAGGGTAGCTTTTACTGTGAAGACTGTCACATAGAGCGGCAAAGTACATTAACATCTGGGAGTTTTTGCCTGAACTACTTCTAAAAACTTAGTCATAAATGATCTGGTTAATGCAATGTGGATGGACATTTGGATGAACAATGGATACATACTAGCTAGAACGGGTTTTCAGCAGTATGGCTAAAACACGTAATGTCTGACCCAGTCCTGCTTTGATGAAAATGCTGATTGATAGGAAGTTTATGTGAGATGGGCTCCTAAGAAATACTTTTATCAAGAATATGAACAGTTTCCTGAAGTCTCCGAAAGTTGTGGTGGTTTATTCTCTTTAGTACTGTTGTTAAAAACTTTTAAGGTTTTGAATGATATTTATATATACAGATATTTATATAATTACAAGTACTGTAAAGGCAAAAATTGATTAGCTGAAACAAACATAGAGTTTTGGTTTAACCAGAAGGTAAAGGTCAAGAGTTGAGGAACAATGGCACTGAAGCTCTTTGGGAAAGGGGGCGGCGGGTAATGGGCATAAAGCATTGAGAAGCGTTCTGGAAACTTTCTTCAGAGTGAAGGAAATACCTTTATCTTGTTTCTCCTTCTTACAACCAGACAGGAGTTCTTCCCTTTGAAAATTGCACAAGGGATGAGAACTTTGTAGTTTGATAGGTAGAAAAGGTAAAATCCGCTAGGGCAGGGAGTGGGGTGAAGGAGGAAGGGCCCGAGGGGCCCCCGGTAAGGCCTGCTGCCTGGTGAGGGTTAGAAGGGAATTCCGGCAGCCAGAACCACTGGCCGCTGGCACGTGGGGGCTGGGGTGCACGAGGCCGGCCTACTACGTGCAGTGCGGGCGGTCTTAGGGAATGCATGGTTTATGCTAAATTTCGTGTTCTTGTGTATAAACAAATTCAACCAAGGGATTATTACCACTTTCTGTTGCTCGTAGTACTTAATTGGCATTAGTACAGTTCTCTGTATTTGTAAATTCAACAGAGGATAATTGAGCTGTAGAAAGCCACAATATTTCTGTATTCATTTCCTTGTGAAGAGTTGGGTATAAATACGAGTTTTTAAATTACCCGTTTGTTACCTTACTAATCTTATAAAACTATGGTGTTTTTCTGATTTTAAAAGTAATACCCTCCATATTGTATAAAACAATTCATGATAGAAAAGTATAAAGAAGAAAAACAACAGCAAGTGGGTTAAATTCTAGTGCCCACAATAATTATTTTTAATATTTTGGTTCGTTTTCTCCCAGATAATTTTCTCTATATTGATATATATTTTACATACTCGAAAACATACTATATATATTCAATTTTACATCATGCTGTTCTCTTAATATAGGCATTTCTCCAACATTATTAGAAATTCATCATGAACATTTAGTGACTATAATATGCCATTGTATGGATTTATCATAATCTTTTCAATCATTTTTTACTATTAATCAGGCTGTTTCTGATTTCTGATATGTGACATACTAGGATTTAACATTTATTGAGCACTCTGTGTACTAGGCACAGTTCTAAACTCGAATATATACTCTCATATAATCTTTACACCCACCTTGTAAGGTAGGTACTGTTTTTTGGGTTTTTGTTTTGTTTTGTTCTTTAGTAGTCATTTTACTGATGAGGAAACTGAGCCCAGAAAATTAATAATTTACTGAGGGTCACATGGCTAGTAAGTGGTAGTGTCAACTTCTAAGTCATACATACCACATAAATTCTAATCAACATTTTGATTCCTTAGAATATATATTTTGAGAAGTATATAGGAAAGCCTAAAGATAATTTATATATGTATATGTACACTCTCATAGTTTTACCTTGACTATAACTCTTTTTAAGGTTTCTTATGCATATAGCCATGTTTATAACCCCCCAATACTGGAGTGTTTCACACTGTCACTTAGGAATTACCATTTGGTTAAAACTTTGCTAATTTAGTTGGTAAATAATGTCTAGTATGGTTGGAAAGTTTTTTCATGTTATTATGTATTTTTCATTTTAGTGAATTTTCTGTTTATGTCTTTTGCCCATTAAGTTCCTGGGGTCCTAGTGTTTTTTGTCTTTCAAATGTAGCTATTCTTGTATTCTTCAATTACCAACTAAAACAGTGATTTTTAAAAATCATATTTGTATTTTCCATGTCTATTTTTTGAAAGCAAGCGAAAGAAAACCTACATATAAGTTTTAGTCTTACTGATCTCTTGTTTATAGGTCTTGAATGGTTTTTCCCAAAAAATTACAGGTAAGAGACAATATTAGAATCTTACTCAACAAATATTTAATAGCCTATCATGTACCAAGCATCACGATCATCAGCTCTGCAGGTATAGAGACTAATGTGACCAGTACCTCTCCTAAAGGAACTCCTCAGTATCTAATAGGGGAAACAGATCCAAAAAAATCCTTGTAATAAGGACAGTGATAGAAATATAAACCAAATGTTGGGGAGATGGGAGCTAATGGGGAAAGGAGTTCTGTGTAGCTCAAAAGTATTAAATCAAGGACAATTTAATGGTGCTAATCTGCAGGTCCAGCAGAACACCTTGTAATAGCTGGGAGGGTACGTATTGTGGGATAAGTTGTTGATCAGAAACACAGCATTTGAGCAATCTCGTGTAAGCCCTGATAGTACGGATAAGACTGTTTCTTTCTGCACATCCCAGCCCTAAAACAAGGTAGTCTTTGTTGAAAAGACTCTCTCCTTCAGATTTATCCAGGTAGGCCCGATCCTATCTTGAATCCCTTGGCTTCACGCCAGCCTTCAGGATTCTACCTCAGTCCCATGATTGAGCTTCCCTGAGGTTATCTGCAAGTCTCTGCAGTGGCCCTCACAGGAACCTCTCTCTGGCAATGTGGGTCATAGGCCCAGGTAGGACATGGCAGGGAGGCCTCAGTTCAGATCTTGGTTTCTTACCAGTATGAAGGGAGCGAGACAAGGCCCAGGATCCTTGCCTGAGTTAAAGAGTCTTATCTGCCAGATTCTCGGTTGTCCCGATGATCCAGTTTTTACTGGATATGCTGTGATATCTTCATCAGCCTCCAAAAGTGACAGCCATGCGTTCAAGGTACGGCAGAGACTTTGCAGTCGTGTCCTAGGGAGACACAGTGGCTCAGCCATTCCATATCTCCAGTCCTTAAAGTGGCGGCAGACCCTCTGTTTCTGCATCCCACGCTCTTCAGCTTTGCCCTGGAAGAGTCTAGTTCCCTATAAAGGTCAGACTCTAGGAAGCCCTAACTGGGTCAAAATGGTTCCCTGTCTCTAGCTTCAGATTGTGACATTTTAGTGTCTTTTTCCCCCCTTTTTTTTTATGGAAGTATAATTGGCATGCAATATCCTATTAGTTTCACGTGTATGTGATAGTGATTCACATTTTTTCTATTTTTCTACATTACAAAATGAGCCCCATGATAATTGTAGTTGCCATCTGTCATCATACGAAGTTATTACAGTATTATTGACTATTTTCTCTAGAACGCTGTTCATTACATCCCATGACTAACTTTATAACTGGAACTTTTTTCTCTTAATCCCCTTCACCAATTTGGCCCACCTCCTAAATCCTCGTTACTATGATAACAGTTTGTTTCTTGTATCTGTGAGTCTGTTTCTGTTTTGTTTGTTCATTTGTTTTTTAGATTCCACATATAAGTGAAATCATATGTTACTTGTCTTTCTCTGGCTTGTTTCACTTAGCATAATACCCTCTAGGTTCATCCATGTTGCAAATGGAGGGATTTCATTTTTTTTTTTTATGACTGAGTAATATTTCACTGCGTGTGTATATATATATATACACATATATATGTGTGTGTGTGTGTATATATATATACATATATATATACACACCACATCTTTTTTATTCATCTTTCGATGGACACTGGGGCTGCTTCCATATATTGGCTGTTGTAAAAACACTGCAGTGGTCATAGGGGTGCATATAACTCCTTGAATTAGTGTTTTTTCTTTGGAAATACCCAGAAGTGGAATTGCTGGATTGAATGATCTAATTTTAATTTTTTTGAGGGATTTTCACCAATTTCCATTCCCAAAAACAGTGTTACAGGGCTTACCTTTTTTCCACATCCTTGCCAAGACTTGTTATTTCTTGTCTTTTTGATAATTGGTAATCCGACAGGTATGAAGTGGTAGTTCCTTGCAGTTTTAATTTGCATTTCTCTCATGATTTAGTGGAGCATCTTTTCGTATACCTGTTGGCCTTGTGTGTGTCTTCTTTGGAAAAAATGTCTATTCAGTCCATTTTTTATCGGGTTGTTTATTTGATGTTATGTTGTGTAAGTTCCTTATATAGTTTGGATATTAACTCCTTATGGGATATATGATTTGCAAATATCTTCTCCCACTTAGTAGGTTGACTTTTTGTTTTGCTCATGGTTTCCTTTGCTGTGCTAAAGCTTTCACATTTTAGTTTCAAATAGTGTGACAGCAGCCCCCTAGTGTGGTTCTGGTAAGAATAGCGTGTGTTTATTTTTAAAGTACAACTTCTTTAACTGAAGCATCATGGTTCTCAAATACCCATGTGAGCTAATTCCCCACGTGTGAGAACGTTACCTGCTGAACTACTATTGAGACCTCTGGTCCCTGAGAATGCGGTTGCACCAGATTTTGGGGAGATTGAAGGACACCACCCCTCAGGGACTAAAAAAGGTTTCTAGGAGACAATGTGGCTTGTTTTGTTTTGTTTT